TTTAATAAATTAATTTTTTTTATGAATTGTCATTAATAATTGATGTAAATATTTATGAAATGAATTATTTTCCGCGCAAAATTATGCAACGAAAAGCCAAGCAACTATTTTAATTCGCTCTCTTTCAGTTTAGCTCTTTACAGCTGCCCTAGGTATATAAATTTGTTTTGTAGCGCACACTCGCAGCTTAAAATCATGCGATAGGAAACCAAATACACTTAACTAAATCAATTAAAAAAATAGGAAACACACAGGAAATTAAACAGTAAAAGTAATTAAAATCAGAAATCAGAAATGGAACGCAAGGCAACAGAAAGATAAACAGAAACAGAAATAGAACAAGGAACAGAAACAGAAACAGAAACAATATATAAAAGAAAAGAACAGAGAGATGTGAAAGAAATTAAACAAAATACCAGTGGAAACATTTCAGGATCCGCTGACCGCTTCTTGCCCACTTCCAGTGTGTGATGACCCATAACAGCGGCGGCAGCGGCGGCGGCGGCAGCAGCAGCGGCAGCGGCAGCGTTGTTTGTTGTTGTTGTTGCTGTTGGTGTTGTTGTTGTTGCGCCAGCAGCGATGCCGCCGGCCGTGTGGATGGTGTTGCTGTTGTTGTTGTTGCTGTTGCTATTGTTGCTGTTGTGGAGGTGGTTCTGCAGTTGCTGCTGATGCTGATTTAGTWGTTGGTGTGCCGTAAGAGGTGAGCTCTGTATTGCGTGAGTGTGTGTGTATGTGTGTGCGAGTGTGTGTTTACATATATGTGTGTGTGTGTCAATTGAAGTGCATATTTCAAATTATAATCAAATTAATTATGCCAAAAATCAATTAAAAAATTGAAAATAGAATAAAATTTTGATCAAGCATTTAAATTATGCGTTCATTAATTATGAACCGATTCCATTTGAATTATTCAAGCGCCATTGGTGTTGGCATTTTTAATAAATATGCACAAGTATTTAATTTTTTATTTTAATTTATTTAATTTTTTTTGCATTTTTTGAATAGTTTCAACGAATATTTTATTTGTTTATTTTATTTTGGCATTGTGCATGTGTATGTGTGAAAGTGCATGTGTGTGTGTGTGTGTGTAGAGATATCATCCATCGTAGAAGCAATTACAGTGTGTGGCACAGGCGAACAGATGAAATACATAATAGTAGAAGAGTACGAGTGTTTTTTTCATGATAAGTAAAAATTATAGTTAAAAAGAAAAAACAATAAAATCAAATAGAATTTTTGTTTTCAGAAATATATAGTAGAATATAGTTGAGGCTAACTTAAATTTCAATTCAAAATCAGA